GAGCACTTCCTAACCATAAGACAAAGTGACTACTATTGAGGAAATAAAGTTCAAGAGGTTATGATGATAATTTGTAAATTGCAGTTGCATTTACATCTTAAAAAATAAGACCTCATAAATTATGAACTGCGCTCTTGCGCTCCAGAGACTTCACTTCCCATTTCCACGTTAGGGGGTGGTTAACTTATGATCATTAGGCTTCAATCTCCTAACCAATACAATAGGGGTAAAAATGATTACCTCCAGGTTGTGAGGATTATAGGAGAATCCATAGGAAGTGCCTTCCTTGGTGTCTGGACATTAACTCCTACATTAACCAATGCTTTAAAAAGTCAAGGAGCAGGTGCATCTCTGGCCTTCAGCACAGCTCTTGTATACATAAATAAATCTTAAAAAAAAAAAAAGTCAAGGAGCAGGAGATAAAGTGAGCAGGAGATAAAGTATCTAAGGGGTTGATCCCATCAAGGAAGGAAGAACACCTTTTTCTTCAAGGTAAAATTGACATGCTTCGTTCTATAGCTATTAAGAAGTGCAGGATAATATGTAGTTATCAGTTTTTATGAATATTACTTGACTATAATTCTGTCCTTTCTTTGAATATTAAAAGTCCCAAATTTAGCTTTAAGCAGACAAGATTTCTCCTGACCACAGGAGCAGAAATTAAATGCTAAATATTGCAAACCGATAGAAAATAAATTTGAAAGACAATCCAACTATTAAACCATTGATCTTCTAGAGTCAAACAAAATTACCTAAGACCTCTGTGTTTAAAGAGAAGATAAGCTTAGATTTCAGGTACAGAGATTCCAATCTATCCATTTCAAAGCAGAAGTGAATCAGCTGAAGAACACTGCACTTGAAGAAAAACCAGAATTGTTCTCAATTGTCCATTCAAAAGTACAAACATTCATTAGCAGGACTATTTTTATAATCTCCTGTTACATTAAATCCCAAAGTCAGGTATTAATAAACCTACTTAAAATAAGTGCCTACCACCAGACCAGGAAAATCATAAAATTCCTGAGTTTAATTCAGTTCCATTGCTTAATAATCTTAGAAAGACAGTAATTTCACCATTACAAAATGGAGCTGGGAGGCAACCTGCCTTATAATTACTTAATAGCCATTTCAAGATAAAACAGTTTTTTGAAAAAACTAAGTCACGTTTAATTCTATCTCCCTCCCCCAAAGAAGAAGAAACATCATCATAAATGAAGGGTATAGTAGGAAGAACAAAAGGGAAAACCAATTTGAACTATTTCAATATTTGTACTCCTGCCATTAACACAGCCATTCAAAGCTGCAACCTCACTGTCCTCCAGATACACATTTTTAAAGTTTGATTCTTCCTCTTCCCAGATACTTCACCCTTTCTTTAGGTAGGTCTGAGTTTGCCATTTAAAACAAGTCTTGCAACATTTTTTTAGAAACAAAGCAAAATGTTCTGTAAATAGATGAGCCATTATGCTGAGTAAATATGCCAGAAGGATTTCAAATGAAAACCATGGGGACCGTAGTGGCAGGACAAAGTGTCCGAGAAGAAATTAAAAAAAAAATGACAGTAAGGTCATATATCATGTTAGCACGTGCTCCTGTGACTGAGAATCACCCCAAGCAAACAAACTTAGGGTTCGTGGGCACCATGTGCGTTGTCACCTAATGCAGAGGCTGAACTGACGAGACTGCAAGGAATGACAGCAGTTGAAGAAATTTTCGTGGGCACAAGGCAAACTGGACTGGTCAACCAACTTTCCCTCCCTCAAATAGAAGACACCAAGATTGCGTCTGCAAAGCAAATTCCTTGCTGTTTATATTTAGTTGAGGCATTAGTTTCAATAATTTCCAAAAATTATGTCTAAATGTGTACCCTGAAATATCATTATGGAGTTAAAAAGGACCTCCACAATTATCTAATTTAGTAGTTATTTTTTGGGGGGCGGGGGGGAAGGGAGGTTGTTACAGACTTTTCTAGGAAGCAGATGTGTTCTCTCTCTTCTCAGAAATGCATATAAGGCACACATGGACACAATTTGGAGTTCCTCTTGCAAGGGTTTGAAGTTTAGGAATCCTAGATTAAGAACTATTGATCACATCTTTGTTCCTCATTTTAAAAACCAGACATGGAATCCCAGAATGGTTCATGGATTTATTTGCCCAAGGTCACACAGCCTGGTAATAGCAGAGTTGATGGTCAAACAACCTACTATTGGCTAACTTACGTCAAGATATTTGCCCCACGGTTCCTGAGAGACTTTCATTATCTATATTCATTTCATTCAATGGTCACTCATGTTACTGTTTGAGTTAGTGAAATGAGTTTTAGGCTAAAGATGGAAACACATCTTCCATTTCAAACGGGGTTGGGGGCTGGGAGACAACCCCAACATTATAAACACGATTGCCTAAGCAGTGCTGGCATTTTTATGTAAGTAACTATTACCTGGGATGGAAACATTAAGGTTCCCACACCCCATCACTACAAAATGAGAGTATTTCTGTCATGAAACTCTGACAGCTGTACTTTTAATAGTACTTTTCAATAATCCAAAGAAAACACACTACTTTAATTAGATCAATTTTTGAAATGAAAAACTTTTTACCCTGAGTCAGTTGCTGGAAGGGAGGAAAACTCAATAATTTCACATTTGCCCTTGGGGTGAAATACTTTTAGTGTCAATATTAGCATCCCTTTCCAGGAACTTCTTCTCATCTGATTAATGCTTCTTGCTATATTTTATTGCATTAACTGATAGATAATAGTGAAAATAAGCAGATGGTTAAAGACAAAATTGGAAGATGCTGGAAGACCCTTAGAAGATCTACTGTACCACTTGAAAATATTTGACATTTGACAGGAAGTAGCGGGTTCTCTAAATAGTATTCCTCAAACACTTGACAAATAAAAATGCCTGCAAATAATTTTTTCTTAAATACCATGTTAATCTCAGATATGTGTGGCCTGTGGTTAGATTCATCATGACCTTTCAACTGTGATACACTGCCCACATAACATGAAATTTGCACCACACGACCACTGCAGATCCTCCCTGCCCCTTTGCAGCTCTGTGGTATACCAGGAGCCCCAGGAGAGCTGTGATTTCCACTTGTGACCTAAATTAAACATATTTCCAAGTCTTGCATTCATCTGACACCTTAATAAGTCTATAACCACATGCAGAAACTAGTCATAACTAGAATTAACATTAAGTTAGAGTCAAGACACTCTGGTCTCTAAAACCGACAGAATAGTCTATCTAGAGCAGTAGTTCTGAAACCTTCTTCAAAAATGTCTTAAAAGTATAGGCACCTGCAATGCTTCCCAAGACCTACTAAATCAATGTGTTAATTTTAATTTTAATAATAACCACAGGTATTTACAAATGTTCACCACTTTGGGAACACATCATTTCTTCATTCATCTGACAAACATTCAATGCTCATCGTCTACTGATCCAAAAGTTACATTATAAACACATTATCTTTTTAGTATAGTTTCCTGGGTCACAAACTAATAAGAAACTTGGGTCACAAACTAGTAAGAAAGGATTGTAGTCTATGTTTTTTAAAAATTACCTCCCCAGTTACCCCATCCTATCACCACAGGTCAATGTTTCATTGCTTTAGACATCAGCCCCTTGATTAAAACATACTAATACATCCTCAGCTGCAACTCTGCATAATTGGATGCAAATGTGCGTGTGTGTATGTGTGCAAGTGTGCCCTCTTACTTTGTATTGAGGCTACTAAGCTAACCAGTCTCTGCCCATCACATTTGAAATTCTGTTTGGAAGTCTGGCTATGAGCCCAAAATGAAACATATAAAGTAGGAAATATAAAACAAGAGCAGAGAAGATGAAGACAATGCCTTCTACTCAACATACTATTATTTCAGCAAATCTATTTTTCTTTCTTATCTCCACATGCAATAGTCCTTTCTTCCCTAATCTCCCACCAGTTGTACTCTAGTCAACACTCAAATAACTGAGTGCCAATGGATTATTTTGAACCAAGAACTGGCAAAAATGCTTCCCACACTTTGTTTAGCCTGAAATCACACAAAGTCACTCAACCGAGCAGGTGAAATCTCCCCTAGATAGTAAGTGCTGGTTAAAATGCACATCGCATGTTTATTGTGCCCTCCTCCCCTGTGGTCTGCATTTGCAGAGGAGCATGGCATGAAGACAGGGAAAACTGGTTTTTGCTGAGGGGAGGGGTGCAACATGACCAAAGTAGGAGATGAGAGGAGACTGTTCAACACCTAGGCAACAAATCGCTCCTCCCACTGTGCTCAGTAAGGGGGCAAAGCCCCACCCACAGTGACAGGGTCTTCATGATGCTGGACATGAGAGAACACTCCCCCTCAGCATTCCTTGACAGGCTTATTAGAGTGGGAAGGCATGGGGTAGGGAAATAAGACATGCTAAGGAAGTCACTGAAAGATAATGGGGAACAAGCACATCAGCACCCCAAGAGCACTCCAGTGTCCTTCCCTGTCATGACTGAGGTGAAGATGACCAATGAAGAAATAGTCCCCACAGAGATGTACTGTGGGCTGTTCACCAGCAGATCCATCCTGCCCTTAAAAACCTCCCTGCCTGCTCTCTACAGCACAGCTATGATTTCTTCCTTTGTCTTGAAAAAATGTTAATTTGCCACAAGATAAAGCAACATCTTTTATTAAAAGGCACGGGAGGGCCGCCCTGGTGGCCTCAGGGTTAAGTCTCAGCACTATCAAGCTATCACCCCTAAGATCTGAGATCCATCCCTGGCCAGGAAGCTGACCCACATGGCACAGCCAAGCTCTCCCATCTCATCTGCTGCTCCCCTCAGCAGTGTATTTCAGTTAATCTGCCTGTTCTGCTCCCCACTCTGTCTCTGGTGAATCCTCTCACGCCTGCACCTCTGGCCCATGCCCCAGTTCTTCTGCACAAAAATTAATTTTTTTTTTAAAAAAAGTCACTAGAAAAAGAGTCCCAGCTACTGAAGCTTTCCTCACTTACCAATTTCCTAATGTCTTTCACATCATCAGTAACACGGTTCTCGCAGATCCCTTTTGTTTTGACGAGAAGATTAAATAGGAGCAGTTGAAGATAAATGCAAGTGATAATCCAAGTCTAAACAAAAACAGAAGAATTTCTGGTTATCATTGAAATATTCACAACTTATTTCTGAATGTGCAAAAAACAATCTAAAATATTTTTTTTCAGTATCACTGGGCTGCAATACAACCAAATGTCACCCATTCACATTACGCTGACCACATTTTTTTTTTTAATTCTCAGTTAAAATGCCACTTGGGTTTTTCATTTCAATGACATTATTGTTAACTCTGGTCAAAAGCTTTCAGACAGTCGATTTCCTAATGGCAATTAGGAATGAACTTGTGGCAACATGTAAAGGATTTATCACTTAGGGTGTTTTTTAAAAACTAGGGAATGCATAAAATTTATAGCTTAAGGCACCAGAAGAAACTTTCTCTGCTCTAAATGTGGACTGTCTGGCAAGTAGCTGCAGAGCCCTAACAGTGCTTTAATCCAACAATCTCCGACAGGATACAACCAAGGGAAAGAGGGGAGAGGAGAATTTTACACCTAGAACAGAAGTTAACCCTAATTTGTGAGACATCAAAAGGATCATTATTTTGAATCATGGTATTTTAGTAAGGAAAAATATTTAATAAGGAAAACTATTTCCTTAACCAGTAAGAGACATTTCTGAACCCAAGCAGAAAATGATGACATGCATACATGTTCACATACACGCATAGAACATGTTTTAAAATGACACTTTGGACCATGTGTTATAGCTACTTACATTCATGATTTTTTTTAATCATACTGTATTTTATTTTAGGAAATTGAGCATCTAGGTTTTTCCCCCAGTATCTTTACAACACATAACACATAATTTTGCTTATAAAAAAATCCTTAATAAAAATTTATGGGATGAATCTGTGACCAAAATAAAAATGGTCTAATGCTTCAAATTCAAATGCTATTTATTGAGTGCATATTATGAGACAGGGACTCTGCCAGCCACTAGAGAAACAAAAGCCTTGAAGTTGCTCTTCAAACCCAGACAGGTAAATAAATCACACCCATACCCCATGATAAATGACTTTGGGGACAAGAAGGAGGAAGCAATTCCTCAATTAAACTTAAGGAGAAGAATCTGTGGCAAGAAGGTAGTGCCAAGAAAAACCAGGGACAGTGCAACCCTGGCTGGATTTTGAAGGACAAAGAGGAGTTTGCTAGAGAAGACAAAGAAGCAAATTGCAATTGTATGGGGAATATAAAAATAAAATTTATTAATTAAAAAAAAAAGAAAAAAAAGAAAAATTCATTCTTTAGGGATACATAAATATGTGGTAAATTGTTTTTCAATGCAGTTGTATCAACTTGATTAAAAAAAAAAACATTCTAGGAAAAAAATAAATAGCATGATCAAATGTCATAGAGACCTGCAGATATTTTAAGATAAGTGAGATTTCTTTTACAAGCTAATGTTCATCTGTGCCATCTGAAAATTACACGCAAGTCCATGTGCATACGGCTAGAAATCTTTCATATTTATTAGGTAGCCATGTATTAAAAGAACTGGATTATTACTTTCAATTAATATCAGCAAGCTAACATACTACACTGAACCAAATGAGGATTATTGCTGATTAAAATTTGTAAGACTAAAGTGCTACCAACATAGATATTAGCTTGTTAACAAAATTAAAGCCCTCTAAATTGCTTTACAATGTAATCTATTGTAGCACTAATATTGCTTAGTTTCGCTAAAGCTACTTGAGCACAGTGAAGTCAAAATCTTTTTAGCACTTTCTCCTTTGGATCAATATGACTCAATTATGTAAAAGATATGTTTTGAGCTTCTTTTTGGACAATTCAAAAAAAATTCTTTAATAACTTATTCTGCTCTCATGCATAAAAATGAAATTGATTAAACTCAAGCTTTCTTTTATATTGTCAGTGCTAAGACCTAACCTTGATCCTCTTTAGTGATGTGACCTGGGAAGGCTCCAGGAAGGATCTCTCTAAATGGCCGGACTCACTAATAACATTATTTTATTCTAGGTTCAAAATATATGTAATGAAAGAAATCCTGTTACTTCCCCTCATTATGCTTTATGCCCAGCACTGAAGAAACACTAAACAAACATGGGTTCACTCAACCACTCAACAAATATTTATTGGACACCTCGCTTGTGCCAGGATACTTTCGAGATGATAGGGATATTTGTTTTTTAAAAGGCAAAAATCCTGCCCTCCAGAAGCTTGCCTTCTAGTGAGGAAAGGTGAAACAGATCAATAAACATAAAAAGTAACTAGATTCTCCAGTAAGTCAAAAGTGTTAAGTGCCATGGAAAAGAAAACTGGATAGAGGTAAAGGGGTTGAGATAATGAAGCTGCTCCTGTAGCAGCAGTGGTCTTAGGCTCAGGTTGACAATCACACTCAAGAGGCACCTGTGTTCACAAGTGAGCTTCAAGAGAAGTCACAGGGCAGACAGAAAACAAGCACTCACAGCACCAGCAGAGGTCACGGAACACCCAGTCTCAAATACCCACTCATCACTGCACACCTGCGAGTATGTGGCAATGACAGAGGATGTGGGATGAGTAGGACACATCCTGGATCCTACCAACTTTGCTGTTTGAGCAGCCCCTTTAGGCCAGGGATTAGGGTCCATTCATTCTCCAGCACAGCTACCGCTCACCGGTAGCATTCTCAGCCATCACGTACACACAGGGCTTATTGGCTATCTAGAACCTTTAGTGGGATTCTTAGGAAGAACTAAAGAAAGGGTCCTAAACAGTGCTGCTATAAACATAGGGGTGCAGGTGCTCTTTGGAATTGATGTTTCTGTGTCCTTTGGGTAAATACCTAGGAGTAATAGATGACTGGATCAAGAAGATGTGGTACCTATACACCATGGAATATTACTCAGCATTCAAAAAAGATAAACACATGCAATTTGCAGCAACATGGATGGCGCTGGAAGGGGTCATGCTCAGCGAAATAAGCCAGAAAGAAAAAGAAAAATACCAGATGGTCTCACTCATAGCAGGAATCTAGAAAACTTAAATAAGGGACCAGGAAAATGAACAACTATAAGAAAGTGAAAATCAAAATCAACAAAAAACTATGAACCAGAGACACTCTATGGGGGGTGGGGGGCGGGGAGGGGAGGGATTGGGGTCAAAATAAGGGGGTTGCAATTGTATGGGGAATATAAAAATAAAATTTATTAAAAAAAAAAAAAAAGAAAGAAAGGGTCCTAAAACTGAGTTCTTGTTGCAAGGATCATGGGGAGGATCGAATCCCCTGAGTCTCTAGAAAAGGCCACAGAACTAGATGTTGCACCCTTCTTTCTAGAGACTCTAGTATAGGGTAAGCAGCTGGAAATTTTAAAGAGAGTAATATTTGTTGGTGCCTCACTGAGAAGGTAATAAGAAGCAAAAATCAGATGGCACCAAGGAAGTCGTTCATGCAAATATCTGTTGGAAAACTACTGCAGAGAGAAAAGCAGTTGCAAAGGCCCTGAGGTCTATTAAGAAATCTGCCCTATTTAAGGAAAAGCAAACAAAGAATAGAGAGGCCAGATCATGGAGGACCTGTACGTGTCTGGACTTCTTACTTTTACAGCAAATGAAAGTGGATTCATTGCAGATTTTGAATAAACGAGGGTCATAAAAGTACTTTAGAATAATTTTTAAAAGTCAACTTGGAAGTTTCTTGCAAAATTAAATGTAATCTTACCATAGAGTCCAGCAATCATGTTCCTTGATATCTACCCAAAGAAATTGAAAACATGTCCACACAAAAATCTCCAGTGTTTGGACTGTAGCTTATTCCTAAGTGCCAAAATTTGGAGGGAACCAGAAACCCCTGAGTAGGTGAATCGACTTAACTGTGATATATGCAAACAGTGGTATATTATTTAACACTAAATGGAAGTTATCTGAAATGCATATTTCTAACTGAAAGATGTCAATCTGAAAAGATTACAGACTACATGATTCCAACAATATGGCATCTGGAAGAGGCAAAACTAAGGCGACAGTAAAAGACTCAACATTCTAGGTGCTAGAGGGATAGGGATGAATAAGCACAGCACAGAGGACTTTTAGGGCAGTGAAAACATTATATAATGCAGTAGGTATTCACCACTAAAATGGTGACTACAAATCATACATTTGTTTAAACTCACAGAATGTATACTACCAAGAGTGAACCATAATATTAACTATGGATTTTTTTAGTGAAACTGTCTCTCAATTTTGCTGTGAAACTGCTCTTTTAAGAAGTCTCTAAAGGGGCCTCCCTGGTGGTGCAAAGGGTTAAAGATGCAGCACTATGAAGCTATCGTCAGCCACTGCAGCAACAGTTCCATCCCCAGCCAGGGAGCTGACCCAGATGGCACAGCAGACCTCTTCTGTCTCGCCCGCTGCACCCCTCAGCAGTGTATTTCAGTAGATCTGCCTGTTCTGTTCCCCACTCTGTCTCTGGTGAATCCTCTCACCCCTGCCCCCGCATCTTTGGCCCACACCTCAGCTCTTGTATGCATCAATAAATAAATCTTTCAAAAAAAGCTCTCTAAAAATCCCTCTGATGACTGTGGTGAAAACAGACTTTAGGGTAACAACAGGTGGAAAGAGATCAGTTAAAGACTACAGCTACAATCCAAGAAAGAACGGGTGGTAGCAAGGCATTGACTGGAAGGGAGTGGATTCTGGGTGTCTTCTGAAGGCTCAGCCACCAGAATATGGCCCAACAGTTGGAGTGTCACTTGAGAAATCAGGATGACTCCCAAGGACTTTGGCCTGAACAACTGAGAGGGTGGGTGTTGCTAGGATCTGTGATAGGCTGCTGGTAGAGAAGGTGTGAAAAGCAGGATCTGGAGTTAAGTTTTGTGAGTCTTAAGTTTGAAATGTCTTTGAGATAGCCTAGTGATACTAGGTCAAGATATTTAAATCTGGATTTAGGAGGAAGTTTGGGTAGGATATATAAAGATGCTAGCTTCGATATATAAATGTGATGCTGAGCAAAAGAGGGGATATGATCACCAAGAGAGAGTACAATTAGAAACACAGAACAAAGGACTGAG